CGCATTGAATCTATAAATTGCTTTTGGGAGAATGGACATTTTGATGATATTGATTCTTCCAATCCATGTGCATGGAAGATTTTTCCATTTTTTGGTATCCTCTTCTATTTCTTTCTTTAAGGTTTTGTAATTCTCATTGCAGAGATCTTTAACGTCCTTGGTTAAGTTTATTCCAAGGTATTTTATTATTTTTGTAGCTATTGTGAATGGGATTTATCTTAGAAGTTCTTTCTTAGCCATAACATTGCCTATGTATACAAAGACTGTTGATTTTTGTGCATTGATTTTATATCCTGCTACTTAGCCAAACTCTTCTATGAGTTCCAATAGTCTCTTAGTAGAGTTCTTTGGATCCCCTAAATAAAGAATCATATCTGCAAAGAGGGATAGTTTGAGTTTGTCCTTCCCAATTTTTATCCCTTTAATTTCTCTTTCTTGCCTAATGGCTCTGGCTAAAACTTCCAGAACTATATTGAATAGCAGTGGGGAGAGTGGGCATCCCTGTCTGGTACCAGATCTCAGTGGAAATGCTTCCAACTTTTACCCATTCAATAGGATGCTGGCTGTGGGTTTTTCATAAATTGCTTTGATTGTTTTGAAGAATTGCTTTGATTGTTTTGTTTCAATGCTGCATCTTTTTCAGGGTTAGGGATTAAGGTGATGCTGGCTTCATAGAAAGAATTTGGGAGGATTCCTTCTTTTTCGATTATTCTGAATAGTTTGAGAAGAATTGGAGTTAGTTCTTCTTTAAATGTCTGGTAGAATTCAGCAGTGAATCTATCTGGTCCTGGAATTTTCTTTGTTGGGAGGGCCTTTATTACTGATTCCATTTCTGTCTGAATTATGGGTCTATTTAAGTTTTCTATGTCTTCCTGGTTCAATTTAGGTAGATTGCATGTGTCCAGGAATCTATCCATTTCTGATAGATTTCCCTGTTTGCTAGCATACAACTTTTTGTAGTAATTTCTGATGACTCTTTTTATTTCTGTGGTGTCTGTTGTTACATTTCCATTTTCATCTCTGATTTTATTGATTTGGGTCTTTTCTTTTTTTAGTGAGTTGGGCCAATGGCGTGTAAATTTATTTTTTCAAAAAACTAGCTCTTCGTTTGGCTGATCTTTTGTAATATTTTTTGGATCAATTCTGATTTCTTCTCTGATTTTAATTATTTCTCTTCTCCTACTAGTTTTGGGTCTGGTTTGCTGCAGTTTTTCTAGATCCTTGAGATGCACTGAAAGCTCATTTATTTGGTGCCTTTCCAATTTCTTGATGTAGGCACCTATTGCTATAAACTTTACTCTTAACACTGCTTTATCCCTTTAGTTTTGATATGTTGTGTTGTTATCCTCCTTTACTTCCAGAAAGTTTTTGATTTCTTCTATGACCCAGTGTTCATTCAGTAGCATGTTGTTCAGTCTCCATGTGCTTGTATATGCTCTAGGGATTCCTGAGTTGTTATTTCCAACTTCATTCCTTTATGGTCTGAGAAGCTGCATGGTATGATTCTAATTCTTTTGAATTTGCTGAGACTTGCTTTATGGCCTAGTATGTGGTCAGTCCCAGAGTAGGTTCCATGTACTGCTGAGAAGAATGTAAATTCTTTAAATGTAGGATGAAAAGTTCTGTAGATATCTGTTAGATCCATTTGGTCTATAGTGACAGTTAAATAGGCGTTTCCTTGTTGATTTTCTGTCCAGTTGATCTATTTCTGAAAGCGGAGTATTAAAGTCCCCCAGTACTACTGTATTGGAGTCTAAGTCACCCTTTAAGTCCCTTAGCATATCTTTTAAATAAACCAGTGCCCTGTAATTAGGTGCATACACATTGATAATAGTTACACCTTCCTGTTGAATTGATCCCTTAATCATTATATAGTGCCCCTCTTTGTCTCTCTTAACAGTTTTTGTGTTAAAGTTTAGTTTGTCTGATATTAAGATGGCTACACCTGCTTTTTTTTTGGTTTCTGTTGGTATGGAATATCTTTTTCCAACCTTTCACTTTCGGTCTGCATGCATCTTTATTGGAAAGATGTGTAAGCAGCAAATAGATGGGTTTTGTTCCTTAACTCATTCAGCCAGTCTTTGTCTTTTAGCTGGAGAGTGGAGGCCATTAACATTCAATGTGACTATTGGTAAGTGGTAACTTTGCCCTGCCATTTTCCCAAAGATATTTTCTAATATATGCTTTGAGCTTCCTGTGATTTTTTACTGGGAGGTTTTCTTCCTTTACCTCCTTTCATATTGACGGCCGTGTTTCTGTGTTTCTGTGTGTAACACGTCTTTAAGCATCTTTTGCAGGGCTGGACGAGTGGTCACAAATTCTTTCAATTTCTGTTTGCTATGAAAGGTCTTTATTTCTCCTTCATCCATAAATGAGAGCTTTGCAGGATATAATATTCTGGGCTGGCAGTTTTTCTCTCTTAGTACCTGTGCTATATCTCGCCATTCCCTCCTAGCCTGTAGGGTTTCTGATGAGAAGTCTGCTGTGAGTCTAATTGGAGATCCTCTGAGAGTAATCTGACATTTCTCTCTTGCACATTTTAGAATCTATCTTTTCTTTATGTTTCACTGTGTTGAGTTTGATTACAACGTGTTGTGGTGAAGATCTCTTTTGGTTATTTTTATTGGGGGTTCTATGAGCTTCCTGTAGTTGGATGTCTCTGTCCTTCTCCAAACCCTGGAAGTTTTCTGCTACTATCTCACTAAAAAGGCCTTCTAATCCTTTCTCTCTCTCCATGCCTTCAGTAACTCCTAGAACCCGAATGTTGGTTTTTTTTTAATAGTAACCCATAGATTCCCAACAATATTTTTTAGATTTCTAATTTCCTCTTCTTTTCTTTGGTTTGATTGTATAATTTCCTGTGATTTGTCTTCTAAGTCTGATATTCTCTCTTCTATCTCACTGATTCTGTTTTTAAGGCTCTCAAATGCATTTGTCATTTGACCTATTGAATTCTTCATTTCGATTCTCTTCCATATCACAATTTCATGTTCTACTAGATTCCTCATTTCATTTTGATTCCTCCTTAAGATTTCATTTTCATGAGAGAGATTTTCTATCCTGTCCAGTAAGGATTTCTGTAGTTCATGCATTTGTTTTTGAGAATTTCTAAATGTTCTTATCACACATTTTTTGAAATCCGTATCTTGCATTTCTTCTATCTCAGCATCTTCATAATGTTGTATTGGAGTGTCATGTTCATTTGGGGGCATCATAATGTCTTCCTTGTTCTTGTTTCCTTGGTTTCTGCGTTTGTTGGTTGTCATTGTGGAGATATATTCTTTGGTTTATTCTTCTTTTTTTTTTCCTCGCTGTGGTGTCTTTTCCCATTGTACTTCGACTCTAGATTAAGTGGACTGTCTGCTTTTGGTGAATCTCTAGAGGTTTGTGGTGGGTGTGGCCAGAGAGTTCTGTTCAGTTCTTCAGGGTTAAGGGTGTGCCAAAGGTGACATGCCCAGGTTTGGCGTGGTAAATCTTCTCTCTCTCTCTCTCTCTCTCTTTTTTTTTTTTTTTTTTATTCAGAAGGGAAGTGATTCCGCACAGCTGAGCTATTCTCCTTGACGGCAATCAGTGCCTGAACACTAGCCCCTGTGGGTATATTATTGGCCTGCTCTGTCCCAGGGACCACAGAAAGGATCTGTGCAGCCTTCAGTGTAAGCTCAGATTCCCCTGCAATCTCCCACCGGGTTGCCAAGGTTACCGAGTTTGTGGTGTCTCCCACCGAGAGAGTATGTCTCAGTCACTCGTAAATTCTCCCACACACACTCTGTTTTTTTTCCACAGTCCCAGTTCATAAGCTCCACACATTCACTAGGTCTTAACCTCCTGTTACTTCTTCCCACCAGAGTCAGGTTTTTCTGCTAGGCTGAGGGTGGGCTTAGCCCTGAGCCGGTGCAGCTGTTACATATGTCCAAAATGGAGCCTGCTCTTTGTCTTGCTCGCCTTTGTAAGGTGGTTACAGAGAGAGAATCATGTGCATACTGGTCCCTTTTATTTTTTATTTTATTTCTCCTCTAGTTAGCCTGGTGAACTTTCCCCCATGGGGCTTCAAGCCTCGTTCCCTCTAGGCTCTTCCTGCTGCTTTTCTGCCAGTGTCTCGGGCTACTGCGGTTTCGCCTCATCTCCCTTTCCAGCGCTGGTGCGTAGACTTAGCGGCTGGGGTCCCGAGCCACGGGTGCTGTGCCCTCCACATAGGTCCACCGTGTCCCACTAGCTCTGGAAGAGTTTCCTCTGCAGTTTTTCCCCCAACTATTTCCTGAAACTACAGTATCTCCACGTTTATTAAACTATCTTTTCCTAGACTATCAGTGAGCTCCCTCCCTATTCCACCATCTTGGAGCTGCCACTCTCCCTGTATAGTTAATATAAACCATCATCCACTTGGTTCTATGCCCATTATTCCAGTGTTACTGTCATTTACTTTTCCTAAAGAGGCATAAAGGGATTCTCACCATTCCAACAACTCACCTCTTCCAGAGTGTGAAAACACCGTTATTGCTAGTGGATTTTTTAAAAGCTAAATGATTTTGAAAAGTTAAAGTCATTTTAAAAGCTGTCTGGTGAATGTTGTGGTTCATCTAGTTCATTTAATAAGATCACAACATAGAACATTAAAACTCCATAGTATGGTGCCAAAACAAAGTCATTTATTTTACACCATGGGCAAAGCAGATAGCAAATTACTTTTAATGACTACTCTTAATATCTGTGTTCTCATATCTCTATGAGAACTCTGCTTCTTGGTGGTTCATAATAGAAACTATAATGAAGTGCATTAACACACAATATTCATCACTATCTTTATCTTGTTTAGCATGTTTGCATCCCTAGCAGAGTTATTTTTTTCAACAAGCTGCCTATTTACTCTTCCGTTCACCACTCGGATAAAGACTATAAAATGAATGGGGCATGATGTGCTGTTTTCTTTTTAATTGTGAAGGAATAGGTAATATTTGACATGTAGGTAAGCTATTCACATCTGTGCATTTCTCATCATTTACCTTGCTGTCTCTGGAAGCAGTAGCACCATTCATTGTTAGATATCAAACTGTCCTTGTATGTGTCACAAGAATTGAAGAATGCCTTGGTACATTGCTCGTTCTTGTCAAGGTAAATGCTTCCAAGCTCTGACTGGTCCAACAGCAGGTCATAGTTTGTGTCAAGTCTGTTAAACATCCAGCCAAGTGAATCCTTGCAAATTGGCAAAATACTGGTATCAAATCCTAAAGACAAAGACAGAAAATGATTAGCTAAGTATAAAAGATACCAGCAGGGGAAGACAAGGCAAGCCACTATTATATGTAAACAGTGCAGGGCACCTACTGAAGAGTCAGAGAGTAGGATTTTACATTAATCTTGGGCCATTTGCTTCCAAGCAGAGTGTATATATTGATATTTATCTTTCAGGGTAGTTGTGAGGCTTACTTAGCCAAAAAGCAGAGGATGTATACTTGGTCCAACAGTGAAGTCCACAGTTAGGATGCCTGAGTCTCACATCGGGAAGCCTGGGTTTGATATCCAGCTCTGACTGGGCATTCCAGCTTCCTGCTAATGTGAACTTGAAGAGACAGTGGGGATGGTGGATGTGAATGGGTTCCTGCCACCCGTGGGATAGACCTAGATCACGTTCAAAGCTCCTGGCTTTGGTCCCACAAGCCATACAGGTCCTTGGTGAGTGAATCACTGCAGGGGTGCTAGCTGTCTTTTAATCTGTTTTGTAGATAAGACAATTCATTTTAAAAGTTTTCCAGAAAGCATCTGTTACTACTATTAGCCACCCATTCATTTAGTTCCAATTAGTAGTGTGATGATATATTATTTACATTATTATCAAGTTTCTTTTATATAAACAGTAAATTGTGGTAAAATCCTTATTAGTTATATATGTTAATATTATTGATAATATTCTGTGAAAGCATATTAAATTGCATATCATTTAAGAAATTAAAATACTATTCTTTACAAAAATAACTAATACACAAGAAGCAATAACTTCCACATGACCTGTGGGTAGATTGAAGAGTTTTTAGAAAATGAAATCAAGATACATTTGTTTGGTTGAAAGAAAAAATTGAAATCCATATATAAGAGTGTTCTTCAAAGAGTTCTTGCAATGTGGGTATTATGAAAAATGTATGCATGAATTTCAAAATTTTATGCACCAAAATAAACATCTGTAAATTTCACTTTTCATGTGCTTTGAGTTGTTTTTTTTTTTTAATTTATTCCTTTATTCATGGAGCAGAAAGACAAAGACATACAGCAGAGTTCCTGTCCATTGGTTCACTCCCACAAAGGCCAGGATAGGGCTGTGCCAAGGCCAGGAGCTGAAAGCTCAATCCGGGTCTCCCACTGGAGTGGCAGGAACCTGTTACTTAAGCCTTCACCCCTGCTTCCCAGCATCCTCATTAGCTGGTAGCTGGAATCAAGAGGGGGGAGTTGTGAATTGAATCCATGGACTCTGATGTGTGACACAAGCATCCTGTTGCCTGGCAAAACTCCTTGCCCACAAACTTTGTCCTTATGTTGACAGAACTTTGATGGTCTAACAACTGAGGTGAAATTTGAAAACCTGAAAGGAGCTGGACCAGTACTGGTGCTTTGTGATGGTAGGTAGGACACCTGGCACCAGAAGGGCATGCAAGCATGGGGTGCACGAGACATTTTCTGCTGGGTCTCATATGGAATTTAAAAAAAATTGTTTTATAAAATGATCTCTAAGAAAATATTCAGTAGATATATCATCTTCTTAGTTCACACTGAAAATCCTGGGTGGTGAAGTGAAGTGAGTATTCAGGTGGTGAATGCCACCCGAAGCAGTATAAATTCTTCATGATTAGTGTCAGACTGCAGCTAAGGAAGTGATGTGGGAGAAAAACAGTGAGAAAACACTCACTCAGGGACTCATTTAAAGAGAAAACCAATATCCCGCGTGTCAACAGGAGTACTGCTCAAATGACGGAGATGATCCTTCATTTGTGGAAAGAAAAGGATCACCATCCGGAATTTTTCAGCTACTTAGAGATGCTGTTTCTGATGGAATGTATATTAACAGGAAAGATCTTCAGTTAATTCTGTAGAAAACTATGGAGGGAGTAAATGTCTTACTGTTTTCAAAGCAATTATTTAAAATAATTCCTTCGCAAAACGATGAAGGTGGCGAGGCACTGACAATATCTATTTGCTTAGGTGTAAGGCATGTTAATATTATGAACATGGTTACAATAATTAAATGCTAAGATTCTAAACCTTGGGTAAAATTCTCAATTTCTGAATAGTTACCAAAAAGATCAATAGTAAATATAATAAAAAAAAGATTTACATGAACAAAAATCACTCAAGTGAAAGTTGATAGTGGTTATCAATATAATCCAATTAGAGTTTTAAGTGCATGTATTGACTTATCTCAGTCTATGTTATCTACAGTCACACAAAATAAATTAAAATACTCATTCAGAAGCAGAATAATAAAAATGGCTCAAAGTTTTCTGAAAACGTTCCTTAGATATTCAGATGAAGTGAGAGAGGTGGAGAGCCTGTGTGCAGATGAGCCCATCTAGCTGTGTGGCTGTGTGCAGCAGAGGTGATTACAGATACCTGGATGAATCCCATACTGGAAACTGATTCAAAATTACTTGAATTCCAAGGGCTCTATTGGGAGATCACATAATTAGTCAAAGAGTGTAGGTTTCCAAGTCCGTAGAACCTGGACTCAAATCTCAGCTCTCCCACTAACTAATTGTGTGACCTTAGGTTTTACCTCCTAACCTGCATAACTATAAAATGGGGTCAACAAGACCTACTTCACAGACTGTTACAAAAATTACACGATTTAAGGTAAATGATACATGGGGAATGCTTTTAGTTTCTGAATCCCAAGAGATTGGGGATGAATTAGCACCTCCAGGTTCAAACCACATTGTTCTTTTTTTTTTTTTTTTTTTTGACAGGCAGAGTGGACAGTGAGAGAGAGAGAGACAGAGAGAAAGGTCTTCCTTCCATTGGTTCACCCTCCAATGGCCGCTGCAGCCGGTGCACCGCACTGATCCGAAGGCAGGAGCCAGGTGCTTCTCCTGGTCTCCCATGGGGTGCAGGGCCCAAGCACTTGGGCCATCCTCCACTGCACTCCCTGGCCACAGCAGAGAGCTGGCCTGGAAGAGGGGCAACCGGGACAGAATCTGGCGTCCTGACCGGGACTAGAACCCAGTGTGCTCGTGCCGCAAGGCGGAGGATTAGCCTAGTGAGCCGCGGCGCAGGCCACCACATTGTTCTCACTGTTGACAAGGACCCCTGTGCTCCTCCTGCCTTTGTCCTCTTCCGCATGCTAATCTTTGTCATCTTTCAGGGGCAGCAGAATCCTCATGGGACTAAATCTAACTCTCCTGCAAGAAATGTCGAACCATGACTTTTCTGTTACAAATACTCCAAAGACCTCTGAAAGGAAGAAGACATCAATACAAAATCTTTACCAAACAGAAACAAAAAACACTAACAGTCCCTGAACGTTAATGCTTTTGGGTAAGATGAGGATATTTGCTTCCAGATTGTAGGCATGAAGGTAGTTCACCTCCTGGTCTTTATGAAATAGCAAGGTTCTATGATCAATTACATTTGCTGAGCCAGCAAATGCGCCATGAGCATAACTGAGATTTATATAAATCAGTTTATTTAAATGAAAGCAAAATCAGGGTAAATGCATGCTTTAATACAAATTCAGCATTGCTAGATTGTCCTTGTTGATGTGAGTTTGCTATTTTTAAAAGCTTTATAATAGTTGGATCTGGGAAGGGGAAAGGATAAGTAGAAATAGGTGGTGTGTGGGGGGATAAGCACTACTGTAGCCCGTGGCAGATTCAATGTGTGTTCCCAGGTTTGAAGTTTCACAGGCTGACAAGGCAAAATTCTTCTCTTTATGTTTTCATTTAAATAGCTACTTTAGATTCCGTTTCCAGTAATGGTTGTGCAGATAAGTCATTACATTCAAGATCTGATTTTTTAAGCAGTGCAGAAATAAAGAGTTAATAGAAGTAGGATGAGTCTTACGAGAATTCACATTTTGAAGAAGAAAGTTGTATGAAGTAAATTCTCAATTTTTAATGTTTTTCAGGTTGGGGAAGGCAGAGTTCTCATGGTAGAGGGTGGCAAAGGCACTGGCAGAAAAAAAAATGTATACTTCCAACCTAGAGACTCATACAATTGTGCAGAACCACTGAAGAGAGACAGAGAAATCCAAGAAGTAAATGAGAGGGACACCAGAAAATACTGTCTGCCAAGACTCTGATAATCTGTCAAACAGGCGTGCACTTCCTGGACTTGAGTCAGCTCCACCAGAGACTGCAAGAGTAACTTGAAGTCAGACATTTCACAAACTCACAACACAGTAAGATTGCATTCTGAGTCCAAAAGAGTTAACAATATGCTAAATAAATCAGTGTTCAGAGAAAAATAATGCACTCTATTATTATTATTATTATTATTATTCACAAGGTCTGCAAATAGTAAATGCAGACATGTTAAGCACCAGGAAAATGGGACTTAAAACTTATTCTCAAAGAAAATTATATAATTAACCAAGAAGGAATCTGAGATGATCTGGTTGTTGGAAGTAACCTAGATCAAATATCTGACTCGATTGGCCCAACCAAATTACTAATAACTCAGGCAAAGAAAAAATCCTCATTTTTAGTAACAGGCAATACTTAACAGTGTCTCCACTGTCTTGCACAATATGTACAATAATAATAAAATAAAAAAGATAGAGATGCACAGAAAAAGGAATGAAGTATTAAAAAATCACCTCCCTGTCAAAGGACAAAGCAACTGATAGAACTATGTTCAGGACAGATGTACAAGAATCAGAGAAAAAGAGAAAATTTCAAAATGTAGTGTAAATGATGAAAATTTGCATTAAAATAATAAATGGCAACACGAGCAATAAGCAAATGGAAATGTTAGGCAAAGGAGTAGGAGGTGGAGAAGGAGAAGGGAGGGTGTAGAGGAAGACAAAGAAGTAGAAAGAGGAGGGAGAGGGTGGTGAGAGGAGGAAGAGGGTGAAGGCAGGAAAGAGAGGAGGGGAGGAGAAAGAGTACAGAAAATAAAGGAGCTATGGGTAATTATCCAACAATTTCACAGAGAAGCAACTGAAATGGCAGGAGAGAGAAAATGGGGTAGAAGAAGCATTTCAGGGGTTAAAAGAAAATTCTCCAAAATTGGAGACCTGCAT